CTAGAGCACATAGTTCTGATACAAAATGCAAACTGGCAGTAAGCATGCCTTACAACAATGATTTTAAAAGGAGAAATACAAATGTATCAAGGGTGAAGACTAAATATTTCTCTCTTTTAATGCATCATTACAATAGTATCAGACAACTAGTTCAAATTAAAATGTTTATTCACTGTTGCTAACAATTTAAAGAGTACCCCTATTGGCTCCATAATCAAGGTTTCAAGGTAATAGAATTAGTATTAATGTACCAAAGGAAGCCCTTATCTGTCCTGGGAGAGAATTTTTTAAATTTATTTTTAAAAAATCCACATTAGCTCCATTACCTGAAGTGATTCTGATATCTCTTATATAAAAGATTGGTTTGGTTAAAGATTCTCCAAAAAGAGGGCAGGGGGAAGCTGCATTACATGGTGGTTAGTTAGTGAACTATCTAAATGTTCAGTAGTCTCCAAATCCCATGTGTTTGTTACACCCCAGAGAAAAATATGTGTCTCCCTTTGTTTCTTAGCTGTAAGTACTAAAATTCAGCCCTCTGAACACCCAGTACTGAATGTCTTCAGTATGAATCAGTTGAGTTTAAATCTCTCAATGGTGAGTGACCCTTGCAAATTAACTATGTGAGACTCAGCTGGGAAGGAAGCACCACATGCTGTCTGAGTTGTGACTTCTTCAAGGAGGAAATACAGATCAGCTTATTCAATATTACTGAAGAAGAGATTAAACAGAGTTTCATCTATGTGTACTGTTCTTTTGGATAGGGAGGGTCAAATGATGCTTAATTATTTCATGTCATCATTAATGCTGATGGACACACCAAGACTCATGCCGCAAAAATGCTGCAGAAAAAGCAGTTTTAAACATCTTGTCTTCATGTTTGTATAGTAAAGTGGTTTGTGAGCATAAACTTTAGTCAGATAGTCTGGGTTCAAATATCAGATCTGTCACTTACTAGTGGTATAACTTTGAGCAAGTAACTTAACTTCTCAGAACCTCTCTCTCTTCATTTGTAAAATGGGGATTATAATAGTTCCTACCTCAAATGGAGTTCTATGAGAATTAAATGAAATCATAAATGTATAGCGCTTAACACAGTGCCTGGCTCGATAAACAACTATATCTTCTCTTTTCCCATCAAGTATCTCCTTCCTTCCATCTTCCTTTTTTCCCCCACAGCCCATTCCATTCCACATGGCCTTTAAAAATCTATGTAGTAGTGTGAGTAGGAATGTAAATTGGAATCACTTTGGAAACCTGTTTGGCAACATCTACCATGATCCAGAAAGTCCACTCTAGATCTACGCCTAAAAGAAATATACACAGAAGATATGTTACAACAAATTTCATAGCCATACTCTTCAAAATAGCCCCAATCTGGAAACAGTCCAAATGTCCATCAGTAAAACAAATCAATTGTGGTATAGTCATATATTGGAATGTCATCTAATATAAAAATAGACAAACTACAGGTCTATGTTATAGTATGATTGGATCTCCAAATATTGTTGAACCAAAAGAGCTCAGACATAAAGTGTACATGCCATAATATTCCATATAAAAAGTTAAAAAAACTGGCATAACTAACTTATTATGTTAAAATTCAAGATAGTGGTTAGCCTTGAGGAGGGTAAGGAGGGGTCTTCTGAGGTCCTGATACTGTTGTTTCTTGAACTTGATGGTAGATGCCTGTGAGTATCATTTTTGTGAAAATTTATTAAGTGGTACACCTATGATTTGTACACTCAATACTTAAAAAAAAAAGCTGTATGGTATGCTACAGCAAATGTAAAAAGTAATAATGAAATTTAACAGATTCACTTTTCCTATTTAGAAAGTATGAAAGTATGCACTAGTAGCTATGGTTTTCTTTTAAGGTTCTCTGGCATATATTCTCCTTTAGTATTCTCTAGGAAAATAGTGTACGTTTCCTCAGCCCATCCACTAGCTGATGCAGCTAGAAAATCATTTCCTCCTTGGCTGCCAGAAAGAAAATATACATGGTTGTCTTTCCTAAGTAAGTCTTGTTACCTAGAATTGAAGACAGTTTTAAAGAAATAATGTATCAGTGTTTTGACTATGGGTGGAGTCTGATATTTTAATAAAGTGGTTAATGTCTGAAACTATAAACTTTAAAGGGCTATTCCATATATACATGTTTACTATGATAGTGTTTTAAAAATATATACATATATTTCCCTACAGATAGACTATTAGTCTTTCCCATAGACTTTCCCATAGACTTTCAGCTGTTAAAGTTTAATAGGGTTCTTTCAGGATAGGGTTAGAAAAAATTTGTGCAAAATTTTCACATCCAAATAGCTAGAAAAAAATCTTTAGGTAATGAGCCTGCTTTAATTTTAGTGACCAAAATCAAAATTGAAGGAATTTCCATGGACAATGACATAAATTTAATTTTAGTAGAAGAGAAGAGTGTGGACTATGACTATTGGATCCATTTTTATTTTAACATTTTCTCCTGGACAAAATCTCAATTATGAATAAACCTTTAAATTGCTGTCAGTGTTCTTTTTTTAACAGCAGATTCATGGCTGTGGTATGCGTGTCCTAGAAGGAAGAGATAGCCCATAGTTAAAAGTCCAGCATTGCACAACTCATTGCATCGAGGTCGTTAATTATAATTTTGAAGTTTTTTTTCCCCACAACTAGAGTATACTTTGTGACATCCCCAAATTAACAATTACTTTACTATTGAATATCAGGTCATGACTTAGGTCTAGATTTCAAAGCACACAAATGGCCACACTTTCTCTCTGAAATGTTTCTTAGTACTCCAATAATTAACAGTCTCCCCATGTTCTTCCACACCATGCTCATCCATGCCCCTGTGGCTGAGTTTATGTAGTTCCCTCTGTCCTGTGCTCACTCAATTTCTATACTTTTTCAAGTCCCAAAATAAATAAAAAATTCACAAACACAATTGTCTCTCAGTTAATGTCACATTAACCTAAAGAAGAGAAAACATACTTTTGGTGTTTTATGACTTCTTGGAGATGCATTCTAGACCAGTTGCCCTTTCTCTTTTTTGAGTACAAAGTAATTCAATGGCTCTTCTGAGTAAAATTTTCTAATAATTATTTGCTGAGTGCCTGCTCTGTATCAGGTTTTGTGCCTGGTGTTGGGAATACAGGAATGATAAAGGGAACAGTTGTGCAACCCTCAGAGAACTTGAAGTCCTGAGGACTAAACAAATAGTCTCACATAATGTACAATATGTGTCGGGTAGCCTAGGATTACAGAGGAGAGGCATCTAAACACAGTCTGCAGTAATGGAGGTACAACCACTGTGGAAAGCCCTGGAGGAGGTGACACCTAAGCAGAGTCTTAAAGGATGAGTAGTTGTTAGCCAAATGAGCAGGGCAGGAATTTCCAGAAGTAGAAATAGTATGAGAAAACATGAGTACAGAAGTAAACATGTATGTGCATACATAGGAAAGGACACACAAGCTCAAGAGTTTGAGGCAAAGAATGACAGAAGATGACACTAAAACGGTACACAGGAGCCATGTCATGAAAAGCCACGCATGGCAATGGGAACAATATCCCCTAAAACAAATAAATAAACAACAGCACATTCTCTAAAATAAGTTCTCCCTTAATGTTATGTCTTTGATGCTCTAAACTCTCATGGTTGGTAGAAATTTTTCTACTGTGTAATAGGCAGGGAAAATAGCTGGTGGTTTCCTGTGCATGCCAACAACCATTGCCTTGCTATCCCCATACTCTATCTACCCTTAAGATTCCTATTCTCTTCCTCTTCCCATGGTTACCACCTGTTTGCAGTGCCCCATGGAAACAGAACTTGATACAGGACTTTGATAGTTTGGTAAATGCTATTAGATTTGCTTTTCAGCTTACCCTTTTATAAAGAGGTGTATAAGTCTCTCTTCCTCTCCTCTTTTCTATGTCAAAGATAGGCTATAATTCCTTTATCTTAGCCTTTAGATCGTATCAATAGACACACACACACACACACACACACACTCACCAACTTATCTATGTTCAAGATCAATTTAGATGAAATATCTTGATATTTTCTCCTTACTGCCTTCCCACTTCCCTCATAGACTTTCCTCTACCTTACCTGCCCAGATTCCCCAGGGCGTATTTCTATTGCAGTCAGCGGAGAACAAAGGCGCTCCACATAGGATACAGACTTTGGCTCTCTGCTGGTATCTCTGTGTGCCCGATTTGTACTGTTTCAGAGACTGCCATAATCTTTTTACCTGGGAAGATGTCATTTAAATTTTTTGAGTTTTCTTATTAAGAGGTGTTACATTGGTAAACAGCATAAAATAATTCTTTCCTCCCCAACCAAGTTACGATGCTTCCTTCTAGTTTACTTTCTAGGCCTTACTTTTCTTACAAAAGGGAGTCTTTTGTTAGGGTTAGAATTTCCCATAAAACTGCTCAATAATTTGTTTTTGTTTGACGTCTTTGAAGTACTACACAAAGCAATCCCTGTAAAGGGCAATGCCTCCTGAAGGCTGAGAAAGGTGCCTGAGACATAGGCTCAAATTTGCTCTTTTCAGTCAGAGCCAGCTGAGTAATAGTATCTAAATTGGCTGCTTTTCAAGGTTCCTAACTCAGGAACTTTTCTTCTGGGAGCAGCGTTTGCCTCAGGGGATCAAGTGCTTTCTAGTGAGGGCAAATTTTTGGGAAACCCCAGCGCCGAGGGTAGTATGGTCTATTCATGAAAATCTTGGGGAACAGAATGGGCCCCACAGACCAGTGGAGATCAGCACTTGGTCCCAGGACAGAGGCTAGAGTAAAACAGGAGGCTAGGGGGAAGCTGGGAACCTGGGAAAGCAGGTGAGATTGCGAAGGCACCTGCTGGGCTCTGAGTCAAAGGCTGTCAGTCCTCTCGCTGGGGCTGCTCTGCTCTCTCACAGCCCAGCCCTTTTCCTGGGGCTCGGCAGGGGATTGCTACATGCCAGCTTACCTGGGGAAAAACACGTTGGTCTCTTCCAGTAATTGACACGACAGGTCGCTCCGGAGAGGGGAGGAGATAGCTTCGCTTCATAAATGGTCCCACCCCTGGACAAGGTAGCTCACTCTGACAGGTAACAACTGGGAGTGTGCACCTGCCACCAGTCCAGCTCAGCAGGACTGTGAGACGAGGCGGAGCTCGAGCAGAGGGAGTGAGTGAACAATGGACAACTTGAAGTGCCCCAGCTTCTTCAAGTGCAGAGGGAAAGAGGTAGGGTTCTGGGAGCTGCAGAGGTACGGAGGGCCTGGGAAGGAAAATTTTAAGGGGAGGCAAGTCTCAGTTTTTGCTTTCTGTGCTTATTACTTCTCCACATTTCTTTCAACTGCCGTCCAGTGTGCCTGAGATGTCTTCAGAGAGTAGAGGAAAAATAAAACAGCTCTTACTCCAGTAGCTAGAAGACAGGGGCACCTCATCCTCTGCCTTGAGTGTGCCCAGAAAACCTTGTTTTCTGTTTCTCTCCAGACTGTGTCCATATGCTGGAGAAAAAAGAAAATACTCTGTTCTTATCTGACTTGAGGAACCCTCCATAGCCCAGAGCAGCTAACAGGTTGGGAGACAACTCCTCTCCTCTGAAGTGGAGAGAGAGCTGCTCCACCTGGTGGGACAGGAGAAATTGTCTCTGAATATATCCTATGGCTTCCAGAAAAGCACTGATTTTACTCTCCAAGATAGGGGTTAAGTTAAACTTCCCCACATCCAAAATTATCAGCCTATGAGAAAAGGAGTTTATTTCTTCTTTCATTCCTTCTTTTCTTTCTTCCTTTCTTTTTCTTTCTTTCTTTCTTTCTTTCTCTTTCTTTCTTTCTTTCTTCTTTCTTCTCTCTCTCTTTTTTTTTCTTTTCTTTTTTTTAGTGGAAGCTATAGCTGATCTTTCTCAAAAATCTTCTACAATCTCAAGAGTATTGAGTTTTACCTAGTTCATCTTTAAGACTTTTCCATTTGCAAACTTATTTGTCCAACTTTATTTACCCTTCATACTGCGTGCAACATGTAACCTTTCCACCAAAATGTGGATGATCTCACCTGAAGAAGTAGTTCAAATATCTGCCTACAGAGCTTTTTCACTTCAAGAGGTAAATGTAAAGTAAAAGCAGTCATTAGCAGAAATTTCTTCAACCTTGGATAGCATTCCCCTTAGCTCAGGTTCTACGGTTTTCAGGCTCTCTCTCTCGATTAGTGAAATTATGCTTCTGTGGAATTTTTAATAGTAGAAAGACAAGCTGTTGATATTTTCCCTTCTCCAGAAAGTGACAGCGTCATCTGAGAATTTCCATGTTGATGAAAATGATGAGAATCAAGTACGTGGCAACTGGTCCAATAAATCGGATTATCTTCTATCTATGGTTGGATATGCAGTTGGATTGGGGAATGTGTGGAGATTCCCGTATTTGACCTACAACAATGGCGGAGGTATTTCCCCTTGCCCCCACATCTTTCTCATCCAGCTTTAAGTGGAGTGCTGTAAGGCCTCTAAGGATATTTTAAGAACTGAGGAAAGGTATATGATGTTTTGGGTTAGTGGGAGAATAGGAAACAAGCATACTGTATTTATTATTAGGCTGTAAATTGCTAGCTTGTTAGGAAGGTAGCTTCACAAAATCCTCACATCTAAACATGATAAAAGTTGTATATTTACAACTTCTGTGTTTTGGATTTGAGATCTTGTATAATCTCCAACTGTGACTTACTATTCTTAATTTATACATTCCTGTGATAATCTGTTCAGACTTTAGTGTTAGCAAAAGACAGTGATTTCTAGTTCTAATAAGAAGTTTAAGTAAATTGTTTGTGTGCGTTTTGGAAATTTAGGTGTGGGAGCAGTTGATTAAAAAATAATTAAAGGTTTAGTATTTGAAGCTGCAATATTCAGTTACATGTATCCCTAATTGAATTGATTATGTAGAAGATCCTTTTAAAATGCAATAGAATTTAGTTCAAGATGAGGTGTTTAATTTCTGCAAAATAATACTGTTTATACCTCAGAAATTACTAGGGAAGACTCAATTAGAACAACAAGAAAAAATAATTCTGAGATAACACACAAAGGGATACAAAATGAGTTGCATAATTCTCTAGTAATGTTGAAATAACTTTTCACTTACACCATATTTTACTCACTTCTAATTACAGGTTCTTTTAGAAGTATAGAGGTGCCATGCCCTTATATTTCATAATTGGATACAAGTGAAACTGTGCCACTGTAATTATTTTTCTTGGTACAATAGGATATTTTGTGGTGATATTTCAATCTTATATTCCTTGTTAATTGGTTGCATTAAAAGATTCACACCCACCTTCAGAGACTTAAGAAAGAAGTTCTGTTTATAAAAAACTTTAAGTGTGGTGTGGCAAAAAATTCCCCTAGGTAGAGCCTATGTCATTTAGTCATGGGTTTGGTATACGTTTGAGCTGGAAAATGGGTCAGAAATCACAATCTTTTTGGTGTCTATATCCTAAGGTCCAGTGTAGTGAAAAGAAACATTCAAGCTCCTTTCCAGCCTCTTGTATTCAGTTTTAGAATATGAATTTCCCTGTGATTTGACATCATACACAGACCAAGTAGTTGCCATAAATTTTCAGGAACTATATGAAACTAGGTTTAATAGAGTTTTTAAACATAGCCAAAATACAATAATATAGTTTATTGTATGCCATTATCTCATTTACCATTTTCTCTAAGAATTAATACATTATGAACTCTCAGTTTTTAAAGATCACATCATTTGGGTAATAGATGATCTAGACTCTCTGAATTGCTTCGTTCTCTTTTTGCGCAAGGGTAGAAGATGAACATAAAATTCAAATTTGTCAAATATTACAAAGCTGATTTAAAAAATATGGTCAGGACACATAAGTAATAACTTAATCAATAAAGAAATAAAAAAATATGGTCAGTTAAATTAAAAATACGCTAAAACCTGGAATCATTTTAATCTATAAATTCTTTTTAGCAGTTTATGAAAAAGAAGTACTATACTTCCTTAGAGTCTAGGCCAGCAATGTTACCAATGTGTACTACTGTACTGTATTACTTTACCAATATGTTTGTTATTAATAATGAAAAATATAATGGGTGAAAAGCCATATATAACACTGGGGAAAATAATCCCTTTTCTCCCTCTAAAAAAACTATTCACACTGGGCTAGTAAGCCTTTGATTACTGTTGTTTTTAAACAGGGATATTTTGTATTATATTTTCTTCATAAATATCATTGACAGGACTTAAACTATTAGTCATAATAATGACGGTATGTTTATTGCAACATCTGTAAAAGCATATTTGTCCATATGTTCTAGTGACTAGTGACTTGTAAATAACAAGTAGTTTATTGTCTCATTATTTTTAGTAAAATATATTTTGAGGGTTTCAAAATGTAATTCTCAGGTATGATGTTACAGTATCATAATATGAAAAATATATGAGGAAAAAATGTAACATGGTAAATAAAATGTACATAATCCAAAAGCCCATTTTTATACACTGATTCTCACATTTTCTTATTAAATTTGTTTAGGCTTCTAGAATACTTGATCAATGAGTTTAGTGTTATGTCCCTGTTTCTACCCACAATATGATAAAACTTCTAATGAGCAATATTATGCCCCAAAAGTAGGCAGGAAAAAAGTAAAATAATAAAAGATATTTTTTTAAAAATCAAAAGGGGCCTGGATAATCTACATGTGAGATAATTAGTCCTCATAAAATTAAAAGCTAACTCTGAATGCATCTCAAATGTTTAGGCTCTTCTAACAAAACAATAAATTTCTTATTAAATTGAATGAAGGCCCTTATAACTGTTTGAAGAATAATGACCTTAACTGCAATGACTTCCACTCTGAACCACATTTAACTTTTGCACCCTATTTCTTAAAAATGGGCCATTTATTTTTAAAAGAGAAAGGAGGGAAACTAACTTGGAACATATGCTATGAGCCTGCCATTTTGCCAAGTGTTTTCTCATAGACTCTGTAATTAAACCCTCACCATACACTGATGAGTTGTCACACATTTATGAAGAACATTAGATTCAGAAGTTAGGTAAATTGCCTCAGGCCACATAACTAGTGAATGGTGGAACCAGGATATACACCTCATTCGGTCTGGCTCGAAAACATAATGATCATTCAACTCCTCTGGATTGCTTCTTATGGGCTATTGTTTTTAATAAGCACAACAACCACATTACTTATACAGCCAGTCATCAAATAATGTTTTGTTCAACATAGTTTTGTTATAATATTGATGAGTTGCTCTAGGAACTTACCTCTTGGTTCTATTAATTAGTTTTATTAAAATTGGTTTTATTAATGTCATTTCACGTAAAGTCACAGAACCTATTGAGGATGTTAAGTGAGGGCTTACTGTACTAGCATCCTCATTTCATAGATGAGGAATCCAAGGTTTAGAGAATCGAGGACTTTTTCCCAGAAAGTAGTAAATTTGGGGCCTAAACTCAGAAATCTGACTCCACTGTATCAGAATGCTTTCAAAATGTTATGCTGGTTATTAATTGCCATCAAAATTTTGGGATATAATAGTGCTTTGTTTCTTTTTTGCATTTTCTAGGTGCCTTCTTGATACCTTATGCGGTTATGCTAGCATTGGCTGGTTTACCATTGTTCTTCCTAGAGTGTTCACTGGGACAATTTGCTAGCTTAGGTCCAGTTTCAGTTTGGAATATTCTTCCATTGTTTCGAGGTTGGTATTAAAATGTGTTTCCTATTATAATTGTTGGTCTATTCATGCATATAGCTGTCCTCACTCTGAGAAATGAAACTTTAAAATTTGGACAGGTTAAAAACAAAGACCCATACATTTTCTGCATATTGACACTGTAGAATTTAAAAGTCAAATATTAATTTTTATTTGTTTGCCTCAGGCTGCAGATATGGAAGGGGTAAGGAAGAACTAGAGAGGGTTGTAAGGTGTCATTCTTTTCCTATTTTTTACCCTTTCAATTCTCTTGGCACATGGTCCTGCTGTGCATTCATTTTGTGGCTCTGGCATTTTTCTACTTCAGGTGGTCTTTGCCTTCTTGCTTTTGCATATCTTTTACAATGCCTCACTCAGAAAAGTTGAAAGGTTACAATTTTATTTTTCTTGGATGCTCTTAATAGAATGAAACACTGGTAAAGTTTTTTTTAAAATATATTTTTATTGATTTCAGAGAGGCAGGGAGAGGGAGAAATAGAAACATCAATGAGAGAGAATCATTGATTGGCTGCCTCCTGCACGCCCCCTACTGGGGGAGGATCGAGTCCACAACCCGGGAATGTGCCCTTGGCAGGAATCAAACCTGGGACCCTTCATTCTGCAGGCTGACACTCTATCCACTGAGCCAAACCAGCTAGGGGTGGTAAAGTTTTTCTTTAATGCCTTGATTGTTATTAAACATAAAACAGCCTTTCTATCTGTAGCTATATCTTATTTTGGTACGTGCTAGCAGCTGAAAACTATTTGTAAAAGCCTCAATGCATCATCAAAAATAAATTTATAGTGATGTGAACAGTATATTTTGCTGGAATATTAAGGAAGCTACCTCAAAAACTAGTTTTAGCATAGGAGTTACATTTAGTATGCTAAACATTTTGAAACTACTGAGTTAAAAAAACTTCAGAAGTTTAAATTCAGGTTGTTACTGAGTCATTGAATTTTCTTCACATGCACTGTAGAAATGGTGTACACTATCCTTTCAGGACATTAACTCATAGGCTTTATCTTTTACTTGTCAAAATGTTGGTTTATGGATGAAGATGTAAGTATTGGTTAGTGAGTCAATAGAATTTGAGCTTTGACTTGTTTTTCTTTTCTTTCTTAATTATTTTTAAGAATAGTACCCACTCTGACAAGACTTTACAGACTTCATAAGTAAGAGTAATGGACATGTATTTTTCCTTCTCTGAATTTAATGGATTAGCACCGTCTTCTGCCCTGATCTTAGAACTTTTTTCTAACCAACTGAAAAACTGTCTCAGAAAGCTAATCATCGAAATAATTTGAAATTTGAGAAGAAAACTATTCAGACAATAGTACTGCCTCCCTACCCACCCCAAAAGAAAAAGTTATTTGAAACAGCCTTCTCATTTTAAAATAGATTTTGTGGAAATTGAGATGCAGCTTTTTATGAACCAGCAAAAGAAACTTCACTTTTTTTTTTAAACTTTAATTGTTCTCTTTTTCAGGTGTGGGAATTACAATGGTCCTGGTATCCGTTTCTGTGACCATCTATTACAATGTCATAATTGCCTATAGTATTTACTACATGTTTGCTTCTTTTCGAAGTGAACTACCATGGAAAAATTGTTCTTATTGGGCAGATCAAAACTGTAGCAGATCGCCTATCGGTAAAATTCATTTGTTTATTTTTAAAAATATTGTTAACTCTGCTTCATTCTTTCATATTTTCTAAGAAGCTTAAAGGGTTAGATTATTTTCTAACCAATTTAGGATAAGTTTTAAGTGAGCCATGGGTTACTGATAAAAACTGAATAGAGCATGTATAACCTGAAAATTGATGAATGCAATGTTAATTTCTGAGGACAGCCAGTAAGGCTAAACGGCTACTAGAAGAGTTCTTGCAGGCCCTAGCCATGGGCAGGAGAGAAAAAAGATAATGGGAAAGTGATAAAGAGAGAAAAGCACTATCCATGGTCATTGCAGTGTGTTTCAAGAGACAGTCAGTATTGCCCATGCCACATGTTGCTAATCTTTGGAATAGTGTAGCATTGATAGTGCAGACTATTCCCACTGGGATTTGCCTTTGTATGTCAGAGGGTGAAGTGGTAAAGACAATACTTCTTAACTTTAAGGTGTAATTTTCTATATAGGTTAAATAAATCCGCATACTAATAGTCCCTTAGAGCACTAAATCCCAACTGAAATTATTAACTTTATAGCTTTTATGACTAGAAATATAATCATAGTTTAAAAGGGCAAATATTTTCATACTCACTCCCAGCTTAGTAGTTGAGAAGATTTAAGATACAGAATGTGCATGTCTTATTCCATTTGTATGATTTTTACCCTACCTTCACCAAGTAACAATTTAGACTGTACTTTAAATATTTTACCATGAAAACTTGTTTTCCAGGAAAGTACTCTTTTAAAACTAAGTACGTGTTTGTATGTGCATTCTTTTTTATAATTTTCAGTAACTCACTGCAATGTGACTACACACATAGAGACACTCATCCATGTGAATAAAAGCTGGGTAGACTTCAACAATTTTACCTGCGACAATGGAACTGAAATTTATCAACCAGGGCAACTTCCCAGTGAACAATATTGGAAGTAAGTACCCTAGATGATCCACTTCTTAAACAGATGTTACTAAAAATTTTTTTATAAATAACAATAAAATATTAATCGGCTCTTTTCTTAACTCATATAAGTAGAGAAAAGGGAAGCAGAACTAATTCTACTCCATTTGATTCAGATGTTTACCTTATCTTGTGTGAGCAGTAGTAACATGCAAATTTAGCTCATAGTCAAAAAATTATCGTTTATAAATTACTTACGTAAATGGAAACACATTGTCAGTAATGATTTATTTAGCACTATTAACTATAAATTAGGGACTTTATTTGAATAAAACTATTCAAATTTTAGACTATAATTAGCAAGTTTTAATGATAAACAGTTGTGTGATAAGTAATTTGTGGATAAAATTTATATTTTAGGCTGCGATTCTTTTTTTTTTTTAATTAAATCTTTATTGTTCAGATTATTACATTTGTTCCTCTTTTTTCCCCCCCCATAACTCCCCTCCTCCCAGTTCCCGCCCCACCCTCCGCCCTCACTCCCCACCCACTGTCCTCATCCATAGGTGCACGATTTTTGTCCAGTCTCTTCCCGCATCTCCCACACCCCTTTCCCCCCCAGGAATAGTCCATTCCCTTTCTATGTCCCTGATTCTATTATAATCAACAGTTCATTCTGTTCATCAGATTATTTATTCACTTGATTCTTAGATTCACTTGTTGATAGATGCATATTTGTTGTTCATAATTTGTATCTTTACCTTTTTCTTCCTCTTCCTCTACTTAAAGGATACCTTTCAGCATTTCATATAATCCTGGTTTGGTGGTGATGAACTCCTTTAGCTTTTCCTTATTTGTGAAGCTCTTTATCTGACCTTCAATTCTGAATGATAGCTTTGCTGGATAAAGTAATCTTGGTTGTAGGTTCTTGGTATTCATCACTTTGAATATTTCTTGCCACTCCCTTCTGGCCTGCAAAGTTTCTGTTGAGAAATCAGCTGACAGTCGTATGGGTATTCCCTTGTAGGTAACTGAGTTTCTTTCTCTTGCTGTTTTTAAGATTCTCTCTTTATCTTTTGCTCTTGGCATTTTAATTATGATGTGTCTTGGTGTGGTCCTCTTTGGATTCCTTTTGTTTGGGGTTCTCCGCACTTCTTGGACCTGTAAGTCCATTTCTTTCACCAGGTGGGGGAAGTTTTCTGTCATTATTTCTTCAAATAGGTTTTCAATATCTTGCTCTCTCTCATCTTCTGGCACCCCTATAATTCTGATGTTGGTACGCTTGAAGCTGTCCCAGAGGCTCCTTACACTATCCTCGCATTTTTGGATTCTTTTTTCATTTTGCTTTTCCGGTTGGGTGTTTTTTGCTTCCTCGCATTTCAAATCATTGACTTGATTCTTGCGCTCCTCTGGTCTGCTGTCGGGAGTCTGTATAATATTCGTTATTTCAGTCCGTGTATGCTTAATTTCTAGTTGGTTCCCCAATATAAGATCGAGGGTCTCATTAGTTTTCTTGTAGATCTCATTAAGTTTATCGGCGGCTTCTAAACAGTTCTTGAGAGACCTTAAAAGTGTGGTTCTGAACTCTATATCTTCCATTGACAATTTTGTCCTGTTTCTTTGTCTCCGCATTTTGTTATGCTTCCTTGGTGCACCCCCTAGTGGTCTTTGTTCGCAGTCTTATAGTTAAGCCTTGATTGTTGTAGCTAATTCCAGGGAGGGTTTGACCTCCAGGCCAAGTGGCTATGAGAATCAGCTGTGTCAGCAGTGAGAGAACTTCTGTCCTCTAGGGAGGTGCTAATCTAGCCTTTGCCTGAGGCTATCCGGCAAATGCCTGTGCGCAGGGCTTGGGCGGGGTGGGTCGAACAGGATCAACAGGGTGGGCCGGAGAGAGCAGTTATGGCGGCTCTCAGTCCTGTCCCCAGGGGCTCTGCCTCTCTGAGTCCCAGCACCCGCTGCACACCTCAGAGAGAAAGCTGCACTCGCTCTGACCGAAGCCAGATAGTCCCGCTTCTCCCGTTTGAGTCTGGGTCGCTAGAGACTCGCCCGTATCTGGAGCTCAGAGTCTGCGACTCCCTCCTGATTGAAAACGCCAACCACACCCTCCGCCGCCAGCCCGCTGCGCGCACTCCGCACCTCAGAATTTGACTTCAGCACTGCGCCTCCTCTGAGTGTCCGTATGCGTTTCTCTTTCCTCCTAGTTGTAGGACTTCCACTCAGCCAGCGTTCCTGTGGTTCTGGGTGATGTCCCTTCCATTTTTTGGTTTCACTTTTGAAGTAGTTGTTCAAAGCAGCAAACTCCGGCGTTAACCTATGCCGCCATCTTGGTTCTCTGCGATTCTTTATTATCCATTTTTCTAATAATGGTCACTATATGATAGAAAGAGATATTTTGAGTTGTATTTACTTTTATTAATTTGAAATGCTCTCTCTTTATTTTCTTTAATATACACCTATCCTTTACCCTGACCTAACTTCTTTGAATATTGCTGTAATGAGTTCTTCCCCATCTATATATTAATGCTCTTTTGTGACCCTTTTAAAATTTGGTTCTTAAAATGTTCCCAAAGACCAAGCTAAGAATTAAAATCCTAGATCCATTCATGTTCCTCGTGGAAATCATAGAATTTGATAGAGAGCCTTTGAAAAAGTTATAAATAGTGAGGCCATTTAGATTTGATGATAAATATAAGTACAATAAATAAGAAAACATTTAATGCAATTTTAAATGGTATATTTGTTATTTCAACTTAAGACAAATATTGTAGTAAGTAAAATGAAATAATCTAATGTAAGGTTAATTTTTTTTGCATAAAAGGAGCTTTGAAATATTAGGGCAAAATCATAGCTAAAGGAATCAGTAAATCTTTTATTCCAGGGTTTAGAACTTTGGATTGGTTTCACTTAAACCTAAGCCAGAGCCTGGCTTTTCATTGAACTATTTTTGCCCCTCCAATGTCAATAAAAGGTTCACATGACATTGATGTGTTAATAAACTACTCATGAAGCTTCCCACTAGATAAAATGTATGACAAAAGTCAATGTATTAAGACAGGTGATTCTGTGTTCATAAAAGGGCTTATGTGTTTTCAGCAAAGTGGCACTCCAACGCTCAAGTGGAATGGATGAGACTGGAAAAATTGTGTGGTATTTAGCACTTTGTCTTCTACTGGCTTGGATCATAGTTGGTGCAGCACTATTTAAAGGAATCAAGTCTTCTGGAAAGGTAATTTGGAAAATGCATTAGTGATGGAGCTGTTTTCCAATATCATTGTAGTTCATTGATGAGCATTATCAAATGCATGTCTTTTCTATAATGGGAACATTCAAATATGTGAAAACCTTTCAAAGTAGGCATCCCACTTCTAAAAATTGTATAATATCACTACTATTGTTAAAAATAAAACAAAGCAAGCACAAACTAATACTAGAGTTGTGTAGTTACTCAAAACTTAAACCCTTCTAGCTGATATAGTATTCTGAGGCTTGCAAGTATATTTTTAAATTTTCTGTCCTATTATATAAATAAGCATCTTATATATTGCAACGTTTAGTTTCAAAAGTCTAGATCCTTGTTCTACAGGGTAATTATGCCAGGATTCCCCTAATTGGAGGAGATAAAAAACCAACTATATAATTATTCTCTTAAAGTTTGCTAAAATTGACTCAGAACTCTCTCTCTCAGCAAAGAATCCCTTTCTGAAAAACACTATATTTTCCCCTTCATTGTTTTATTTTTTAAACTTTCAGAAAGCATCATGGCAATTTCAGAGAACAACATGAAATTTCTCTGTGAGAAGTTGTATAGCATCCAGAAAAATGGATGTTTATGTGTTTGTAACTACTACAGTGAAATTCCCTTAAAAAGTTGAGGATAGGAATAACTGGATACTATCTTTGCATTCCTGGTATAATATCTAGCACATTCAGTTAATGTTAAGTTGTGATGAGACAAGCTATTAGATCACAAAAATATTGTGAATATCACAAAGTCAGTGGAAACTTTCCAAACTAATATTTTAATTGCACACTTTTGAAATGACATTAACTTTCTATTGTTTTTCTTGATAGGTGGTATATTTTACAGCTCTTTTCCCATATGTTGTCCTACTCATCCTGCTAATACGAGGTGCAACTCTGGAGGGTGCATCACAAGGCATTTCATATTATATAGGAGCACAGTCAAATTTTACAAAACTTATGGAAGCTGAGGTAAGACAATTTGAATTTCAAATTATCTGAGAAGGTAAATCTTAAAAGCAAATACCAAAAATCTTTGGTTTCAGATAAGAGTATCATAATGTAGTAGCTTGCAAAAGATATACAGTTAAATTTATTAGTGTTTCTGTCCAATAGGATGTCTGGCTTAGCTATTTATATTACACTAATGCTTTCTTATTGGAAGTGAGATAATCATTTTAGCAATAGGACTCTAAAAGTCCTTTTATTCATATAACTGATTCTATTTGACCACAAAGATTTGGAGCTTATTAATCTGACAAATAATATTTCATGCATGAATACCTACAAATTGATGACTACAACCATGTGACTTATTGGATAAACTCATAGGAGATTTAAAGATTACAGTTGAAAGTTTAATAGACTAATATATATTTTAACTTTCTTCAAAAGTTAATATCCAAAAAAAGTAAAATCACATTTTGCCGAATGGATTACCAAGTTAAAACACAAAATTGAAATGGATGAATCATTCTATAAACAAAATTGTTACTGTTACCAGACACACAAACATGTGCCATGAATATGAATTGGGTAACCCTATTTTAACTTTGGTCCACCTCCAGATAATGGCTGTCAGTATCACAGGTACATAAATACTTTTATAATTTTGATTGTAAGGAACATTAAAAATAAGTGTAGTCTATACACCAAGCTTGTATTGATAAAAGTGAAATGCTTTCACTTTTTTAGTCAAATCTAGTAGTGTTATCCCAAATGGATATTTGTTTTAGTTTGCTATGATGTTCTTTGTGCAACCATGCTTATTTCCAGTAATTGCTATTTTCTAAATACAGTCATACCTCATTTTATTGCACTTCACTTGATTGCACTTCCCAGATAATGTTGTTGTTGTTTTTTACAAATTGAAGGTTTGTGGCTACCCTGTGTTGAGCAAGTCTATTGGCACAATTTTTCCAACAGCGTTTGCTCTCTTCATGTGTCGGTCACATTTTGGTAATTCTTCCAGTACTTCGAACTTTTAAATTATTAATATATTTGTTCTGGTGATCTGCGACCAGTTATGCTTCATGTTACTATTATAAATATTTCAGGGTACCATGTATTCTGACTGTTCCACCCACCAGCCATTCCCCTGTCTCTCTCCCTCTTCTTGGGTCTTCTTATTCTCTGAGACATAGCAGTATTTATATCAGGTTGATTGACAACCCCACAATGGCTTCTAAGTGTTCAAGCGAAAGGAAGAGTTGCACATCTATCACTTTAAATAAGAAGCTAGAAATGATTAAGCTTAATGTGGAAGGCATGTTGAAAACCAAGATACACTGAAAGCTAGGCCTCATGCATCAGTCAAGTTGTGAATGGTGGAACAAAAGGGGACGTGTAATACTTTCAACAATAAAGATAAATTAAAAAAATAAAAAGTTCTTGAAGGAAATTAAAAGTTCTATTTCGGTGGGACACAAATGATAAGAAATAAAAACGGCCTTGTTGCTGATATGGAGAAAATTTTAGTAGTCTGAATAGAAGATCAAAACATCCACCACATTTCATTAAGCCAAAGCCTAATCCCGAGGGAAGCCATAACTCTCTTCAAGTCTATGAAGGCTGAGAGAGGTAAGGAAGCTGCAGAAGAAAAGTTTAAAGCCACCAGAGGTTAGTTCATGAGATTGAAGGAAAGAAGCCATCTTCATAACATAAAAGTGAAAGGTGGTAAAGCAGCAAGTGCTCATGTGGAAGCTTCAGCAAGTTATCCAGAAGATCTAGCTAAGATAGTAAAGGTGGTTACACTAAACAATTTTCAATGTAGATGGAACAGTCTTCTATTGGAAGAAGATGACAACTAGGACTTTCATAGCTGGAGAGGAGAAGCCAATGCCTGGCTTCAAAGCTTCAGAGGATGGTCTGGTGACTTGAAGTTGAAGCCAATGCTCATTTAGCATTCCAAAAACCCTAGGGCCCTTAAGAGTGATGCTAAATCTAGTCTGCCTATGCTCCATAAATGTAACAACAAAGCCTGGAGGATAGCACATCTGTTTACAACATGGTTTACTGAATATTTTAACCCACTGTTGAGACCTACTGTTCAGAAAAAAAATTCCTTTCAAAATATTACTGCTTATTGACAATGCACTTGGCCACCCAAGAGCTCTGCTGGAGTTGTACAATGAGCTTAATGTTGTTTTCATGCCTGCTAACCCAACATCCATTTTGCAGCTGAAAAATCTAGGAGTAATTTTTATTTTCAAGTCTTATTATTTAAGAAATACACATTATAAGGCTATAACTGCCATAGGTAGGTAGTGATACCTCTGATGGATCTGAGCAAAATCAATGGAAAACCTTCTGGAAAAGACTCACCATCTAAATACCATTAAGAACATTTGTTATTCATGAGGAAGCCAAAATATCAACATTAAAAATATATGTCAACATTAACAGGGATTAATACCAATTATCATGGATTATTTTGAGGGGATCAAGACTTCAGTGGAGGGAGTAATTGCAGCTGTGGTAGAAATATCAAGAGAACTAGAATTAGAAGTGGATCCTGAAGACTGACTGAATTGCTGCAATCTTCTGGTAAAACTTTACCAGATGAGGACTTGCTTCTTATGAATAAGCAAATAAATCAGTTTCTTGAGATGGAATCTACACCTGGTGAATATGTGGCTAAGGTTGTTGAAATGACAACACAGGATACAGAATATTACATTAACTTAGTTGATAAAGCAGCAGCAGGGTTGGGAGGTATGGCTCCACTTTTGAAGGAAGTTCTACTGTGGGTAAAATGGCATCAAACAGCATCACATGCTACAGAGAAATTGTTCATGAAAGGAAGAGTCAATCCATGCTACAAACTTCATTGTCTTATTTTAAAAAATTGCCACAGACACCCCAACCTTCAGCAGCCACCACCCTGGTCAGTCAGCAGCCATGAACATTGAGGAAAGACCCTCCACCAGCAAAAAAATTACTAATCACTAAAGGCTCAGATGATGGTTAGCATTTTTTAGCAACAAAGTATTTTTTAATTCCCCCCTCCCGTTTCACGTTTTTTTTTTATTAGTAGGCTTTATTTTTTTAGAACAGTTTTAGATTTTTCAGAAAGATCAAGCAGATCATACAAAGGGTTCTCATAGTCCTATTATGATTATCTTACAATAGTATGGTCCATATTTTATAAGTCACTCTTCAGTGATTTACCATGGCTCCGAGCACAAAATCCAGAGTCCTTGTGATGGTCTATAAAGTTCTGCATAACCAGGGCCTGCCCACCTCTCCAATGTCTTCTTGCTCATTTTTGCCAGAGAGGCCTCCTTTTTCTTCCTCACACATACCAAAATTGTTTCTGCCTCTGAACCTTTGCACATTTATTCCCTTTGCCTGGGATGCTTTTTAGCAGTGAAGTATTTTACGTTAAGGTATGTACATTGTTTTTTAGATATAATGCCATTGCACATTTAATAGACTACAGTATAGTGTAAACATAATGCCTATATGAACTGGGAAACCAAAAATTCATTTGACTCACTTTATTGCAATATTCACTTTATTGTGTTATTTGCTTTATTGTGGTAGTCTTCAACAGAACCTGCAATATCTCCGAGGTATGCCTGTACTTACAATTTGGATATTTAATTATTTGTTATAGAAATTTTCTGGTAAGCATGTCAAATTTATTCATGGAATAAATTTGTTTTTATTCATGGAAATCCATCTATTATCTTTTTGAAAATTGATGTGTCTATCTCTGATCTTTGCTTACCTTTCTTGTGGCCAAATAATTTTCACTCCATAATCAACCACAAGAGCCCTAACTTGGTTTAGACCTATGAGGTTTTATGATTTTAATCTTGGAAATTAACATGCTTTGATGTGTTCACAGACCATCTGTTGATTTCTTTGTTTATTTTAGGCCTCTCATCTTTTAACATTGTTTGTTAATCTCTTCCCAACTCAAAGACCATATTTCATGATGAATAAAAACAAAAATATGGATTAGATACATTATCTTCTGTATATTAGGTTATTCTTCTCTATATTAGGTTATTAAACAAGATTAACTGTTAATGCATTTTTGGAATGGTAAAGTGTTAAATATGACCGCACACATATTTAAATTATTGTTATTATATTATACTACAAGGGCAGACAAAAGTAGGTTTACAGTTGTAAGTACTCAAAACAGAGTTCATAAATCTATTGTAACAATCATAACCTGCATGTCTTTTTTCATACAAACAACTGTAAACCTACTTTTGCCAATCCCTGTATGTTATTATAGATGCAACATTTTCCCTAAGAAGTGGAACATTCATTTTCTTTCAACATCATAACTTTGATCATAGTTGGAATGTCCTTTCCCTATTCTTTAAGTGGCTTTTACAAGACTCAGATCACCTGGGCTTTACAGTTCCTTGAAACTTTCCTGAAAATATTCTATGAATATTTTATATTGGTCTGTGTTTCTGTATCTGAATTAACTTTATTTTTCTTTATTTTTATTGTTGACACTGTTACAGATATCCTCATTTCCCCCCACCCTTTGCTCTTCTACACCTAATCCCCACCCCCCTTTCCCTCTGGCATTCACCACACTGTCCTCTGTGTCAATGGGTTATGCATATATGTTCTTTGGCTAATCCCTTCACCTCCTTTCATCCAGTCTGCCCCTCTGCCCTCCCCTCAGGCGGCTTTATAAGATCAGAACTAAACCTAATGCTCTTTGTGAACATAAAATTTAATCCTCCCACCTCCCCACTGCACTACCTCCACTTCTTTTTCTTGGAGTTTGCTGGCAATTAGAATTTTTTCTTAGATTTTTAAAATTTCTCTCTGGCCACAGAGCATGGGATCATAAGTATATATTTTTCCTTATCATTGATTATGTGATCTCTATTGAGATCTCTAGAAGAGTAGAGAACCATACAAATGTATAGCCAGAGGGGTCTCCAGTGATTATTTTACTAACTCATTTTACAGTGATAATATTGAGACCCAGAAAGATTCAGATTTAGTTAAGTTTAGACAGCCAGTTTCTGCATCTTGAATTAAGATTTCCTAATTCCTAAAGCAATGATCCTGTATATAGCTATGAGATTGGTAGGCATGGGTATTACAACTATGTTTGGGATTTTGCTTCAGTGTTCTTTACAACCTTAGGTAAACATTATGACTCACACCTGCCATACCATTTCCAGCTTCCCCTAATTCACCTATGAAAACATAATATCAACTAAAAGAAGATGAGACCAACATAAACACGTTATTTATCTTTTAACATATACAACTGCCTAAGAAAAAAGAGAGTACTTTATTTATAAAATATTTTTATTACATCTAAGTAAAATAACCATGTTCTATCTATCTATTCATATATTTCCTACTGGCTTCCTGACATTATAAAGCAATTATAGTGCAATAATAATCTAACATCAAGCTGTATTCTGAAGACCTAGTAATATTTATTTTACTGCCTAAAAACTTTATTTCTATTGTAATTGAAAATAGATTATATACATTTCAGGGAGAAAATTATTGTTTTTAACTTCCATAAACAACAAGTATCAATTTATGATTTTTTTCATAATAACAACAATAGCTACTACTGAGCATCTGCTAATTGCTTTGCATGCGCCTCACATCATTCCTACGATACATTAAAATTGTTACTTTTGCCATTTCCATTTTATAGATGAAAGAACAGGTTTAAAGATGTTAAATACATTGAAAAACAGAGTGGGAGTTATTGGATATAAACTTCATTCTTTTTGACTCCGGAGCTAGAACTACTCATCCTGTTATATTGCCTGCTTTCACTGATGAGTCCTGTTTTCAGATAAACTAAAAATTATTTTTGCCCAAGTACAGGGTGTTCCAAAAATGTATACACACTTTAACAGCTGATAGCTCAATTGATGTTTCTTTCTTTTCAGATTTAATCCATTGGAATTAACAATCGGTTAAAAGTGGGTATACATTTTGGGGGGCACCCTGTATATGCCGACTCTATTATTTAAAATCTGCACAATTTGATTTTTTTTCTTTGGGGTAATGTTATAGCTGCAGAATTTCATTGTTAAATGGATTTATCTGGATTAGTTTCTAAGATTAATCACTGTCCTTTAGCAAATACATAGCAGGGGTAATTGTGAAATAATAAATGGGTAGGATTAGATGAAGAATGGGGATGCTACTTAAAGTGATGAGACCAGCTACCTGAGGCTCTAATCAAAACATGGAATGAGGGCCCTAGCCAGTTTGGCTCAGTGAATAGAGCATTGGCCTGCAGATTGAGGGGTCCTGGGTTCGATACCAGTCAAGGGCATTTACCTTGGTTGCAGGCTCGATAACTGGCCCTGGTTGGGGCATGTGCAGGAGGCAACCAATTGATGTGTCTCTCTCACATTGATGTTTCTCTCTCTCTCTCTGTCTCTCTCCTCTCTCCCACCCTCCCATTCCACTCTCTCTGAAAATCAATGAAAAATAGCCTCAGGTAATGAGTAACAACAACAAAACACATGGAATGAGAGAATGGGGTGATCTAAGGGCTGCCTCAATGTATCATTATTGTTCAAAAATTGCCTAGAACTATCCGTGTTAAGAATTATGATTTATTGTTTCCAAATTGATATGTAAGAATTCCAATACATTTCCAGCACAGCTGTCTTTTTGGTGAAACTTGAAAACTGATTTTAAATTTATGTGAAAGAGGAAAAGACAAAAGAAAAAACAAAACAAGGTGTTTTTGAGGAAGTGAGGCACACTTGTCTTACCAGATATGAAACAATATTATAATGCTATAGGTATTAAAATAGTACAGTGTTAACATAGATATAGACATACAGACCAGTGGAAAATAATAGTAATCTCAGAAATATTAATGAATACATGGAACTTGATATGTGGCAGAGGTGGCAATGAAAATCAGTGGGGGCAAGGATGAACTATTCAATTGTATAATTGATATCCAATTGATATAATTGATAATATCAATTATCTTTGGAACATTGATATGTCATTTGGAGAAAAATGAATTGGGATTTCCAATTTAATATGCACAATATAAATTTCAGGTGAACTGAAACTTAACAATATAAGCAAAACTTTAAATCTTTTAGAAGAAAATATAGCATAGTATCTTTATGACCTTGGGTTAAGGATTATTATTTTTAAGGATTATTTTTTAAGTCAGAGAAATCAAGGACAATACAAACAGGCAAGGATGAACAACCTTTGCTACATTAAAAGAACAACAAAATCTTTGTTTCATTTAAGAACACAATGTTAAGAGGTGAAAAAAATAAACCACAAAGTGTCAGAAAAAAATTTAACATATATAATAGACAAAGGTTAGAATCCAAATTACATTATATATTCATAGAGATCCAATAAGGAAAATAAGCCACACAAAAATGGCAAAAGACATGAACAGGAATTTCACAGAAAAAACAACAACTATGAAGTAGAACATATAAAAACATGCCAAAACATATGTCATTAGGGTAATCAACTCTCACTTCAGTCACTAGATTAGACTATATTAAAAATTCTGACCAATGTTACAAAAAATGTGCAGGAATGGGAACTCTCATAATCAGCTACTGGAAGTGCAAAGTGGTACAACAACTTTGAAGGATAATTTGGCAATATTTAGGAATGGGGAAGATTCATATACCCTATGACATCACAGTGCCACAACTAGGTATGAGGACACACACAAGAATATTCAGTTACATTGTTTCTAATAGCAAATACTGAAGAAACCGAATGTCCATCAACAGGATAAAGGGTAAAGTGTGGCATACACAGTGGGGCAATACAGCAGTAAAAAATGTTCTCTCTCTCTCTCTCTCTCTCTCTCTCTCTCTCTCTCTCTCTATATATATATATATATATATATATATATATATATATATATATATATCTGAACCATATGAATTTGTTTATATTCTTTCATTTTTGACTTATAAAATTGAAATACCTTATGGTTCAAATTGATAAGGGATACATTTCATACAATACTGACTGAAAAGGGAAGTTGTATAAGTTAATATGTATTAAGAAAACTTTTCTATAAACTCAAAAACATGCAAAGCTAAATGCCATTGTGTTTAAGTTTACATATTTATGTAGTAAATATACAAAGAAAAACAAGAAAATGATAAACACAAAAGTCAGGATAGCAGTTACCACTGGAGGTGATAGGATTAAGCAGGGGGAAACTGGGTCTTCAAAAGACTGATAACATTTTATTCCTTAAGCTGAGTAGTGGGTATTATATTTGTTCATTTGTATATATAAAATATTTTATGCAAATGAAAATTAAGAGTGTATGTTTTAAAATATCAACTTATTTTCTCATAGATTTGGAAAGATGCTGCCACACAGATATTTTACTCCCTTTCAGTGGCTTGGGGTGGCTTAGCTACTCTATCGTCTTACAATAAGTTCAATAATAACTGCTTCTCAGATGCCATTGTGGTATGTTTGACAAACTGCCTCACTAGTGTGTTTGCTGGATTTGCTATTTTTTCTATATTGGGACACATGGCTCACATCTCTGGACAGGAAGTATCTCAAGTTGTAAAATCAGGTATGGAATGCTATATATTATTAATTTTTATTAACTCAATGTAGTTCATTTAAGCAATACTAATATATTTTAGAGAAATTTACTTAAAGCACTCAAGATTTAGTGTATTGCATTTCTTATTTCATCTTATATACTTTGGTTATTTTAAGGATGAAGTAATTCTTAAATGTTTGAGAAAATAAGACTATACCAGGGAACAATTTAAGATTTTTTTTCTGAATTTTGTTTAGTTTTTAATATGAATTACTCCCTACACAATTATAAGTATCAGAAATCATGATAAGCACTTTACATGCATTATCTTTATTTGTGTGTATGCATATATATATAAGCGATGATATATGTGTGTGTGTGTGTGTATTGATCTGAATTTTAAACACACGTTAATATCATATAGATAGAAACCCAAGTGACTTTGCCCAGCTGTGTCCAACCTGAACATCATTTGGTTAATGATTCTTTTAGAATTTCTAGGGTAAGATAAAATTTAGGTTTCTGGAGTTTAAGAAAGATATTATTCTTCATCAATCTTAAAATAAGAGTCAAAATCAATGAAATAATTAAGATTTCTTATGTGAGAAATGTACCATTTCTAAAATTGACCTCTCTAGCTTAATTCACATCATGGATTCACATCGTAACCAAATCAAATATTTTTAAAAGTGAAAGTGAAATAGTTGCTAAAAACATAGTTCATGGATTGTGTTACCAAATTAGAATGAGATTTTTCTAGTACTTTATTTTGAAAATGTCCAAATATGGGATTTTTTTTGGCAACTAATTTAAATTAAAATGTCATGCATTTTTCTTAGGTTTTGATTTGGCATTTGTTGCTTATCCAGAAGCTCTAGCCCAACTCCCAGGTGGACCATTCTGGTCTATATTATTTTTCTTCATGCTTTTGACTTTGGGTCTTGACTCTCAGTTTGCTTCCATTGGTAAGTAAGACTCCCACTGTTAGCCTATCTCTTTTATATTGTACTCATGTTTCTTCTACTTAAAATTATCTTTTTCTTAACCCTTGTTGCCCCCCTAGGCTTTACTCTCAGAAAAATCTTTCTGAAAATTTTTAACTTAAATTAAAAAATAAAAAGTATTCATGAATCAAACACCCAAAAGGAACAAACATTAATATGTTATTATATTTGCTTCAGATATTAAAAAATGTTGATACATAGACATATAGGTCTAGCTAATTCACAATTTGTTGCCATTGTGACAGGCAACTGGATTATTTCCAGTTTTTAAAACTTACACAAACTACTGCAATGGCTATTCTTGCACATGGCTGTATGTATTCATAAAAATTTTCCTTAGGTATACACCAAAAAATTCTGAAACAGTTTTTATTATATTGTCTTCTTACATAAAACATTTTAATAGTTTACTGTTTATGGGGCAAAGTCCAGTCTCCTCTAATTGACTTTCAAAGCTCTCGAAAATTTCAAGTATATTTCTTAATCTTTTCACTCAAACACCCTTCTACTTTTAGCCAATACCCTGTTTCATGAACACTTTCTTTTTTTCTTTTTTAAAGGTTGGTTTTAATTTCTTAATATACTGATATGAAGTTCAAATTCTTCTATAAGATTTTTAGATTATTGTAATTATTTGTATAAAATAATCAATGATTGAGTTTGGTGGCTTATGGGAATACATTTATTTCTTAACCTGGAAGGCCTTTCTGTATCCATGTTATTTAGTCAAATACTCACCTTTTTAAAAAGTTGTATTATAGACTTCTTCCTTCCCTATAACTCTTTCAAACGACTTCAGCCCCCAGGGACCTGTTACCTTATAGTTGCTACCAATGAAAAACTTTATAAAACAAACTAAAAATGACAAATCGATCTGCCTTTGATTTTTATCAGAACCGACAAGTGGTGACTGCCAAGAGAAAGGATCTTAAGGGTTTTTAAAAGCTACAATTAAGGCTAGACTATTTTCTCAATATATATTTGTAAATTTCATTAATAGAAGTTGAATTCTGTGATTAAACTTATTGGCAAATGAGTTGACATATAACATGCCATTTTTCCCCCTTCTGAAGAAACAATTACAACAACAATTCAAGATTTATTTCCCAAAGTGATGAAGACAATGAGAATTCCCATAACTTTGGGTTGCTGCCTGGTTTTGTTTCTCCTTGGTCTCGTCTGTGTAACTCAGGTATATTATAGTATTTTTTTCCATAGACAAAGCATTACTTGGAACATACTTTATAATCTCAATGAGAAAACCACAGTTTAAGAAAATGTTTAATGACAAGTCCAAGTCTGACTTGGATCAAGGTTTTCTGAATTTTAGTTCAGATTGTTTGCCATTATAGCACAATTTCAATAAGTATATTTTGCAGAGGGGCAGGAAGCTCACTAATGAACAATTTCCCCAATTACAATCAAGTTAGAGACTTTAAACATACACTATATTTATTGGCCACTATTACAGAATACACATATCATTTTAATAATTAACTATTCTAAATGCTTTTTTCCAAGTTACATCTTACAGAAAAAAAGACATCATTTTTGAGATTTAAATCCATATTTGTGTTCACATTTGAAAACATTCCTTTTCACATTTTTGGCAGAGGTGAAATCAAGGAGCATATGCTAAAATAAAATTAATAAATTCAATTCGAATGCTTAATAAATCATAAAACAATTAAAATTATACTTATAAGTAATTAATGTTTTGATAGGCTGGAATTTACTGGGTTAATCTGATTGACTACTTCTGTGCTGGATGGGGCATTATGATTGCAGCTATACTGGAATTAATTGGAATCATCTGGATTTATGGTAAGTGGTAACTCTTAGAATTACTCTTTCTACTAAAGTAATTTAGTTTTATTCTTTTCCATTGTGTGTATTATAATAGTAAAGTATAATATAACTGGTAAAAATATAGTATAAATAAAATGTAAATGTGTATCCTTCATTGCTGTAGTATAGGAAAATGTTCAGACAAAACTTGAGGCCACAATGATTAATGGAGGAACACATGAGCAAGGACTGAATGCACTCTGTTGGTTGTTTTGTTAGGAGGGAACAGATTCATTGAAGATATAGAAATGATGATTGGAGCAAAAAGGTGGATATTCTGGCTATGGTGGAGAGCTTGCTGGTTTGTCATTACGCCTGTTCTTTTGATTGTAAGTATTAATATTCCATGAATTTAGTATAAAAAATATATATTTAAACATCTCTGAGATAAAATTGAAAAATAACTCACATTGAAGACAAAAAGGCAAACAAATGTCATAAATTAATGATTTTTCAACTTTTGCTTTATGACTGGTGCCTCCAAGTTGCCTAAATTAAAATGTCTTTGCAGTATTATTTTTGAGCCCATAGGTTTAAACATTTACTATTTGAGAAAATAGACAGGCTCCTATAGACTTAAAATTCTAACATATTTAAGAATTACCAGTAGGACAAATAAAAATAAATCATTCATTTTTTCATTCTATAATAAATATGCTAGGTACAGGAAAAATACAAATATGCATATAACCCATACTCTAAATATACTAATTGCTAAGAATCAACAAAGATTCCAACGCATATTTTTTTCTCTTTATGGGAGGTACTTAGTATATGAAATTACTAAAAGAAACTCACCTGTGTCAATAGAGGCACCAGTTTATGTTAACAAATTCAACATTTGCTATTTAGGAGCTGAGGGAAAGCAAAATATGTCTTCTGGAAGACATGACATATAGACATACTATCTATACTAATAAAAGGGTAATATGTTAATTAGACTGGACATTTTCCGGACATCCTTCCGGACAAAGCCATGGCGGCAGGAGCTGAGGCAGAGGCGATTAGGGGAGATCAGGTCAGCAGGGGAGGACAGTTAGGGGGCAATCAGGCTGGCCGGGGAGCAGTTAGGGGCATCAGGCAGGTGAGTGGTTAGGAGCCAACAGTCCTGGATTGCAAGAGGGATGTCTGACTGCAGGGATTGGGCCTAAACTGGCAGTCAGACATCCCCTGAGGGATCCCGAATTGGAAAGGGTGCAGGCTGGGCTGAGGGACCCCCCCCCCCACCCTCATGCACAAATTTTGTGCACCAGGCCTCTAGTCTTTAAATAACAGTTCAGGGCAGTAAAGGCCAAATGCCAAAATAACACATAATGAGATGGAAATTACTATTGACTAGAGATAACGGTGGATGTGTGGTGGTTACAAAGCTTCATAGAGGATGTGTTCTGGTTCTTATTGCCTCCATGCTTCAAAGGTTTTCCTACAAAAGACCATTAAATAACGATCTAGAATTTGCTTCACATCTGAAGTATCATGTTTGTTTTTAGAGGGAATTAAGTTGTGTGTGTGTGTGTTTAACATTATAAGGTCAGTTTTAAATTGTGAGCAGTTTAAGACTAGATGTGCTGAATTAAAATATTTGTATGCCCCATATTTTTTGCTAAATGACTTTGACAGTGCTACTAAATATTGTTTGGCCTTTTTGACAAGTCTCCATAATAAAATAAAATCCTTATAAATTTAGAATACCTAACTAGTCTTTTAGCCAGCCAACTTTGATTACATAAATTTGACAACTGAATTTATCTATCATCTATCTTCTATTATCTATCTATCTATCTATCATCTATCTATCTATTTATCTATCATCTATCTATCTATCATCTATCATTTTAATCCTCACCCAAGGATATGTTTTTATTGATTTTGGAGAGAGAGGAAGGGAGAGAGAGAGAGAGAGGGAAAAATTGATGTGAAAGAGAAACATGGATTGGTTGCCTCTTGTACACACCCTGACCCGGGTCAAACCGGAAACCTTGGTATGTGCCCTAACTGGGAATCAAACCCACAACCTTTTGGTGTATGGGATGATGCTCCAGCCAACTGAGTCACCGGTCAGGGTGACAACTGAGTTTATTTATAAATGCAAAGGTATTAAATATTAAATGACATACATCATAAGCCATTTATATAAAGTTATACATATTATACTCCACTATCCCTCATTTATTCTCTTTTAGCTATGTAAAATTACGGTAAGTGTAAAATATATTTAAATTTCTGTAATTAACTAAATCTATTAAATTGTAAAATGAAATTTGAGTATTTTATAAAGATTCTTGTATTCTAAATACATTTAAACTAAATTTAGAGGAACTACTAGGTGATTTTTGGTTTTGATTTTGTTTTACAGATTTCTAAATACACAATCAGTTTAATGCTGCAACATGTTTTTTAAAGACATTTTTTAAAAAACGTGGCCTTAACGTGTTTCAGCTTTAAGATTCAGATTTCACTGTTTTACCAAACACACATTGAGCTTGTTTTTTTCTCAAGAGGCTGGAAGTGATGTGTGCTTTGGTAAATATATATGTAATACTAATAAGTGAATGTGTGTGAACTTGGGTTTGGAGTAAGGGATGCTCTGTGCAGTGAGAAATAATAGAAATAATTGCTAAGCAAGGAGCAAAGCATGTTCACTAAAGTGTATTTTACATTCTCATTAAATTAATTGATATGCTCGCTAGCTAATGGTTTAAAATAAAACCATGCTATTATAAATAAAAGTTATAAGTTCATTAACAGAATATCTCAGATATTATTTTACTTACAGTCTGCTATATTTTATGGTAAAGTATTTTATTGAAATACATGTTGGACAAGTATTGTATTTTTTATAAATATGCGGAGGTGCTAATTTTAATCTATTCAAAGCCAAATATAAGTCATTTAGATTGGTCCACTTAGTACTGTTATCTTCTGGCTAGTTATCTGATTATCTTAGTTGCTTGAATGTATTTTCATTGTAATTTCTTTTGATAAATTATTTCTAAGGAATGGAATCAAATTGCTAATAATTAGTGCAATTGGAATCATTAGTGCAATAAAGTCTGATCTTTAGCATTGTCCTTTCATATGTTAACTTTCACAGGTAATTTTTATCTGGTCACTGGTGAAATTTAATAGACCTACTTATGGCGAAATTCCATACCCGGACTGGGGAGTTGCTTTAGGCTGGTGTTTGATTATTTTCTGCATTATTTGGATTCCAATTATGGCTATTATAAAAATAATTCAAGCTAAAGGAAACATCATTCAAGTAAGTACATTATTTGTTCACCACCCCAAATCAAATGTCCTTCCATCACCGTTTGTCCCCCTTTTACCCTTTCTTTTTTTTTTTTTCCTTTTACCCTTTCTTACCTTTCCCAGCTCCTTTACTTCTGGTAATCACCATACTGTTATCTATGAGTTGTTTTTTCTTGCGGGGGAGGGGGGGTTTGCTTAATTTCTTCACCCTTTTCACCCAGTACCCCCACCCCCTCCCTCTGACAGCTGCCAGTCTTTTCTCTATATCTATAAGAATGTTTCTATTTTATTAGTTTACATATAGGTGATGTATTATAGAACTGTACCCCTGAAAGCTATATAATTTTATTAACCAATGTCACCCCAATAAATTCAATTAAAATTAACATTATTTGTACTTCATTTAAATCACTGTGATCAAACTAAAGATTAACTTACCAATATGTTGGTAATATGAGCTTATGACCATGGGATCAAATTAATCACTCTTTCCATTAGGCTACTTCTGTATCTGAGTCAAACATCCATTACTATGTGCATAGCATTGTATTACACTATACATATATTTGTGTGTCTCCTTGTACTAGACTATAAGGTCTGTTAAGAAGAAGTCTTGTCTTGTTTGTTGCTGTAGCCTCAGGTGCTATTAGAGTGCTTAGCACATAAGTTATCATGTCTACACTTGTACTAAGTTGTTCCTGAAGATGATGCAAAAGCAAAGCAAATGACCTTTTTTTGTGTTATATCTATAATCTTCATTTGTAAAACCTGATCTGAAAAAAAAACCCCACTCTGTTTATAATATATATCCTAATAGAATGTTTAGACTGGGAAAAGCCTGATAAATTATCTTGAACCCAAACTAGGTCCTGAGTCACCCCTCTTCCTTGGAGGCCTAGGGGGATGGAGTCGATTATGACACATCATTAGGGCATAGGGCAATAATAAGGTAGGCTCAGTAGTCAGATTTTTAAAAAAAATATATAAATTATATATATTATTTCAGAGAGAAAGAGAGAGAGAGAGAGAGAGAGAGAGAGAGAGAGAGAGAGAGAGAGAGAGAGAGAAACATATCAATGATGAGAGAGAATAATTGGTTGGCTGCCTCCTGCATGCCTCCCACCGGGGATCAAACGTAACCTCCTGGTACATAGGTTGACACTCAATCATTGAGCCATGCCAGCTGGGCTCAGTAGTTGGATTTAAAATAAATATCTAAGCCCATTCAAGAATGGATCTAGATTAATTGTTTTACCCTAGAACTCCCTTTCTTTGGTTCTTGAAACTTTTCAGGTATACACTGGTTTAGATCCCCACCAGACAGTCACCCTGAGACTAGGGCAAAGAAATTTAACATTCTAAAAAATATGTGCTTTGATATTTATTTACAGATTGTAGCACTTAAGTTCTAAGACAGCTTTTCCCCCCCTCATTTCAGCGTATTGTAAGCTGCTGCAGACCAGCTCCTAACTGGGGTCCATACCTGGAACAACACCGTGGGGAGAGATATAAAGACATGGTGGATCCTAAGAAAGAGATTGACCATGAAATACCTACTGTCAGTGGCAGTGGAAAACCAGAATAACTTCTAATTTTAAAAAATATGTGCTTGTGTAATGTGATTATTTTAGCGAAAATTTTTATTTATTTGTATGTTAATTGAATAAAATGTATATATTATGTTCATAATAGTATAACAGCTATTTTTTCCCATTTAAGCAGGAATGTAATATAAAAATGTTTAGTAATGTGCCCATTATATTTCTTTTTAGATGATCTATCTGTATTAACACACACATAGCTGTCTCTGTTTCACAATACCATTTTTGTACACATTACCATAATATATTGAAGGCTTTAATTTGAGCAGGTTATTTAGAAAATAGTTATATTTGCTATTGTATAAGTTTTATAATATTACTTGTTTATATTTTCTTGTTATACAATCTTTTATTCCCCATAAAGCTGGGGAAAATAAATCAGTATATTTAAAAGAAAGTATTAAAGTTGAAGGCCTCACTTAATTAGAAATGGTATACATATATGGAATAAATGGACTCTATATATAACATGTGGATATAGTTTAATACTTTTGATCCAAATATGTCTAAAAACTTTAGGTATTAATGGATAACTTTTTCTATATGAACATAGTAATTATGTCCTTTATTTACAAATAGCAAAATAAGACAGAAAAATAAGGACCCTGTGTACAGTAAGTGATAAATCTAGAAAATAGAAACCAGAATCTTTAAGTACTTCCTTCCCCATATAATCTCTTCCTTAGGTTATATTTGGAAGAAAAATATGACCCATCTAATTTCTACTACTTTAGAAAATTAAGAGTAGTTCATTGTACTCTTTGAAATCTAGCTGTAATTTCAAATAGAACATGGAACAAACTATGAGTGAAGAAATGGCTTCAATCAAATTTAAAAATTTATGTTGTAATATATTAGTAGATCAAGTAGAATGATTTTGTGTTACTTGAATATGTTACTACTTATAGGTGATAACTTGTTTACATCCTTATAGGAGATAAATTTGTTAAACTTGTCAAGAATGAAAGAAACCAAATTAGAAAGTCCTGTGTCCCAGTTTCCTTACAGAAGATAATGAAAACATATTACATCATTCATAGTTTTTTACAGTGATTACATATTATTGACAATTGGTTGAAACATCACAGCCTAGGATGATGAGCATTGCCTTAATATGTAAGACATTTTTCAACTATTTTTAAAGTTTTTAACCTGGGCTTCAGAGAACATATGGAAGGCAGCAGGAAACACACCAGGTGTTAGACTGGTGGGGGTCACACTGGTCCTGGATTCAACAACCTCGATACTTGAGTTCTGGCTAGGAAAGAATTCAGAGCCAACACTTATTTATGTATTTATAAAATCACAGAGATGGAAGAAGTAATTTGTAGGAGAAATGGGCTTATGAAACAAGTTATAGAGGTAAAGGAAGGGCCCTTGGAGTTTGGGAGTGAGGAAGGTAATGGTAAGTGCCTGGGGACAGGGAAAGGAGAGGGGAAGGCAGGGAGTGCTGCCAGGAGGGAGAGCACACTGGGTCCTCATCCTAAAGGTTTTAAGGGTGGAAATTTTAGGGGAGGTTCCAAGGGAAGATTTTAACAGAATAATTAGCAGCTTTCCAGGTGTTTCTTTTCGGGATCTAGGTCTCCACTGATTGCTTGGTTGGCACCAGGGCAAGGGGTCATTATCCAATGCAGCTGGTCCTGAGGTCAGCCATGGGGCCACTTGTCTGGTTTTGCTGCTTTTCTGGGCCTGGAGCTGAAATGCAACTGAGGCCTAGATGTTACCTCTAGGGAGGAAAGGTCAGGGGGTCCAAACTGCAAGACCAGAGATATGCTAGGGGAGGAAAGGTCACCCTGGGGGTGAGGTCCCACCCTACTATTGTCCTTTGCTAGGCACCGGGGCTTTCCACCCTGGTGTTCTTCTGTACCTGGCCCATCATCCTTGCTCTGCTCATGTCTGTCTAACTGCCTACCACCTAAGTAAAATGATATGCAATATTATTCTATGTGTATGTATGCATGCATTTTTCTAAGGAAAGTATCCATAATCTTCAACAGAATATCAAAGAGATCTGTGGCTCAAAAGTTTAAGAACCATACATACCACTGCTAGCTTTTCTTCTTGGCAAGTAATAAATAAAAGGAATAATTTTAAACTTTAATTTCTTATACATTTTAAATTCATTTTCTTCCTTTAGATTGAAGATTATAGGAGTAAGGAATTAAAGCATTTTTAAATTTATACTAATAATTGGTTTTGAGAGGAGTGGGCATGTAGGTAGGTAAGCAAGTAGGCCTGTAATTGAATGATCTCAGTGAGTTATGTACATACATGTAAGATAAACTCATCTTAGATATTTTAAGGGTTTTCTTTGAGGGAAGGTAGGTCAAATGCTGTTACTGAATTTCCATAGATTGTTAACTGAGTTACACTGGATTTTATAAAGTATTATATGAAATAGATGGGTGACTAGAGCTTAAAAGTACTTTATTCCCTTAATTTTAATCCATATTATACCACAGGCATTCTGCCATTATATTTTGATGCTATTTGAGGTGTGGATTTTTTTTAATCAAATATAAAAATGCATGCTATTTTCTATAAGTGATTATTGCAATTCAGGAAAGATTTAGGTACATTTCTAAGGAAATCTATACTAATAATAGAGGAATATGCAAATTGGCTGGGATGCTGTCAAGTAATGACCAATCAGGATGGCGGCGGGGCTCAGCGGAGAGCTCTCAGCATACCTGCACCCGGGTCTGAAGGGCACAGAGAGGAAGGGAGAGCAGATAGGCAATTAGGGGGATCAGGCCAGGAGGGGAGCACAGATAGGCAGTTAGGGCCATCAGGCTGGCAGGCAAGAGCAGTTAGAGAGATCAGGCCGGTAGGGGGGAGCAGTTAGGGTGATCAAGCCAGGAGGGGAGAGCAGTCAGGGGGATCAGGCTGGCAGGGGAGAGCAGTTAGGGCCATCAGGCTGGCAGGGGGGCAGTTAGGGGCATCAGGCAGGCAGAGAGATGAGCGGTTAGGAGCCAGTGGTTCCGGATTGCGAGAGGGATCCCGGATTGGAGAGGGTGCAGGCTGGGCTGAGGGACACCCCCTAACCCTGGGCACAAATTCTGTGCACCGGGCCTCTAGTAATATATAATTGGCAGTGGGAAAAAGATGATGGGGAAGAAACCCCCTTTAAGAGCTTACTACAAAGAGTAAGAGTGTGTCTGATTCTTTTCACAAAGGTGTGAAGCACAGATCTTAACAGAGTGCCTGGGTGCTCAATGACAGCTTATTATTACTACTACACAGATTTCACAAAAAAATAGTATTCTGCATTAATGGAAAGTGTCCCATCAAATCCATTTACTTTAATGCAAACTTGGAGACATGTGTAGTGCTGTATTGTAAACTATTAGGGAAAACCATTTTTCACACAAGTGAAATTTCAAATCACTATACCTTAACTCAATAATTTTCCTTCTCTATTGTGCTTTCATTCTTTCCCCAGTTAAATATATATTAGCAACTTCTAATCAATTCTTTAAATGTAAATAAGCAAATTGATAAATATCTGGATTTTGTATCTTACTTGGCATCCCCTCCTTTTTTTAAAAAATAAACTATTTGGTATAAACACACACAATCAAATTAATCCACTCAAAGTGCCTTTAATGACTGACTTCATAGTCAATACATTCTATACACATGCCAGTGGAATTAGGGTCAACGAATGCACCATTTACATCCTCAGTAACTAGGAAATGTTCCAATTCAACCAGGTTATATTCTGCCATCCCGAGATTTACCAGGATTAGTTTCTGGATGACAACTGATTGTGGAAAATTAATGAACGTATCCTGAGAGAGATTGCTGATTGTAAGACTGTTAACAGTATTGCGCTTAGTTGACCAAGTAGAAGAGGATGATCTTACTAGTACAAAAACAGTTGAATCTGATGATGACATTTGATGGTTTCTCTGTAAGAGATGGAAATCACACATATATACTTTATTGAGTTTAGCAATTTAAAAATGCTACCAAATAACAACATGCTTAGTCTTGGTTACCAAAATCAACTGCCTGTGCTCCCCTAAGAATCAGAGATTAAAAATCTGTTGAAGATCCAGAGACAGAGAAGCATTGATCAGACTGTCAAACCCCAGAGGGAAGGTAGGGGAGGGTGGGGGTAAGGGGGAAGATCAACCAAAGGACTTTATGCATGCATATAAGCCTAACTAATGGACACAGACACAGGGGGGTGAGGGCATGAGTTGGGGAGGTGTGGGGGGTTATGGTGGGAAAAGGACACATATGTAATACCTTAATCAATAAAGAAATTTTAAAAAAGAAATAAATGTTCTTATGGTAGTTGATCAAGTCAAATGCTAGAAATATCTAATCCCAAGTGAATCTTAAACCCAAGAATTTTATTCATTGTGCTTGAAAAGAAAGATGGTTTTTGATCTGAGATATCTTTATGAGTTTAATAAAGTACTCTACTTATAAATGAAAAAATAATATGTTGAATGATTACATTGATTTGGAAATGTGATATTACCAAACACAGACTGAGAGGGAAAATATTTGAAAGTGCCTTTTAATGCTAAAATGCCATGTCCTTGCCTTACATTTCTTGGGCAGTCCAGTAGGTCTTTATTTGGACTCAGTCTGACCCTTACCTAAAAGTACTTCATTTGCAACTTTAAATATCACCAGGAATATCACATTTTGGCTTGAATGATTTGTGAATGCCCCTAAAGTTCTCATAAAGATGGCTGAAAAGCAAAATACAGGGGAGGAAGAGGAAAACAGAAACATAGAGGCAGTAAAAGCCAGAGAAGAGAAGGTACAGATTCCTACAACAGGAGGTAGTGGTGGAGAGTGGGCACTTTAAGCTGTACTTTTCAAGTGGGTAAAAAGCTGACCATATCACTTAGTGACTTGGGTTTTTTGGTTTTTTTTTTTTCTATAACAAATCACAGCTGTCAAATCACGAGTCAAGATGAGAAAAGTGGGGGTAAAGAATAAACATCTGGGGCTCTATCAAGAGAAGGGGAATGAGGTGACCTTCCCTTACCCTTATTGTACCATTTTACTATCTTTTTACTTTCTTATACAACTCCCACCTCCACCCCTCACCCCCCACATCCATGTATTCACCTAGTTTCAACTCTTTCCAATCTCTCTTACGCACTTTACCTGAAGCCGGTCTTTCCAGAAAAGAAACACGTAGGCGAACAAAATACCGCCAATTAGGAGCAACAGGATACACATGGCTCGTCTTCGTCCTCTTCTATCTCTCTTCTCAGGCACTCAGGGGCCACTAGCCACTGGAACTCCAGAAGCCCCTGGCCAGTGTGTTGGTCTTCCTACACTGCCTGGTGCTACTGGGATACGCTTCAGCGTCCCGCCTTATATACTGGAGGGCACGTGACCTCACAATTGAGCATGCACGTGAGAACTATGTCACAATTTGATGACGCGTAATCCACCTGGGGGAAACCAGGCGGCGAGTAAGAGCCATATGGGGTGAGCTCAGATTTCCAGGAAGCTGAAACATGGTAGAGAAGTACAGACACCAAATTGGCTGGTTAAATGTAGTATTTTAAAAGTGCTCTTCCCTCCTCTCTTTCTTCTTTTTAAAGATATGTCTTTCTCTACTGAAACTACTCCACTATTCATTTAAAAAAACAAGTTAAAAAACAAGATAGAAATGTACCGTAAAAAGTAATTACCCATAAATTATAAGACTTTGTCAGAGACCTCCTCCATGCTCCCATTCCTATTTTAGGATTCACGCCAACCCTATAGAATTTAGATAATTATGTAAATTTATGTTACTGTGCAGTTTAAAAAAGTAATTCAACAGACATGTCCCCAAATAATTCTCACACTATTTTAAGCTTTAGGTGTTTCTAATACTGTGAGTACTTCTGGA